TATTTAAACTTTTCTACAAGATGCGTACACATTAAATAATACTTGAAGGAAACGAAAATTTGATTAGGTGAACAAGTAGTCCATTAGATTTGCACACATTTATCAAATCCTTTTTTTTTTTCAATTAACAACCAGTCAACTTGGACAAAGACAGGTTGTATTAGAGAACGTGGAAAAGTTCAAGTTTTTGTTAGTTTTTTCTAATATTTTCAGAATGAAATTGGACATTGAATTAGAAATACCAACGATTGCATGGTCTAATTTGATCGAACTAGTCCAATTTGATCGAACTAGTGACCTAATAATCAAATAAAATTAATATAAAATATATATAAAATAAATACAAGAAAAAATATAGTATGTTAATAAAATAATTGTAAATTAATAATATTGTAAATTATATTAACTCATGAAATATAAGTAAATTTTAATTAAATTAGATATGAGTAGACTCAAAAATATTTGTATTTACATATATAATTGTTAACATCTTTATAAAAAAAAAAGGTCTCAAATTATATTTTATACATATGAATTATCTAAAAAATAAAGTTGGCTATTAATACGATCTAATTTTTAAATTTTTAATTTTTTTAAATTTTTAAACTTTTTTAATATTATATTTAAAACTGTTTAGTTTTTTAAAAATCGCTCCAGTTCTTGGTTCAACTTTGGTTTTCTGCTCAATAGTAGCTCAATTTTGGTCCAATTTGATTCAATCATAAAAACAATTTTTTGTTCCAAACCCAGCCATTAATGACTCTAATCAACGATCCGACTGTCTATATAGTCTGGTTTTTAAATTATTGATTCTTTTATTGTCTTTTACTAAAAGTTCAAAACTCACTCTTTAAATATCTAAACATTTTTGACTTGATTTGTACGCATTGTATAATACATTAAAGAAATAAATCTGATGGGTAAACAAATTGCCCCTTAGATTTGTACATATTGAGTAAAATCTAATAATTTTTCATTAACAACCAGTTAATAACTTTGAACAAATTCATTGGCTGTGTTACAGAACGTGAGAAAAGTCAAGTTTTTGTTGGTTCTTTTGTAGCCTTCTTTTATAGAAGTTCAAAATCGCTCTTTATATTACCATATTGAGCTAAACTTTACGGATTCAAATCCTCTAAAATTGGGATTTGTGAATTTTTGTGAAGTTTTCCTTTTTTTAAGAAAGAGAAAGAAGATTTTATATTTTATAAAAAATAATAAGATGAGAGAAAATATTGAAAAAAGAAAACTTCACCTAAATTGACTAATTCCAACTTGATTTAAATCCAAAATTTACAGCCTAAGATCATGCATCAAACATCAATATATCACACAACTATAAGATTTAATTTCCATTAAACATACAAACAGTTATTGGAAGTCAACAATTTAACCCAAATATATGCAAGCAATGACAATCCAAAACCTTAACAACAATTCAAACTTAGGGATTGCGAAAAGATTATTAGCAAAATAATTAAAATATATATATATATATATATATTTTGACAGTAAACATATATATATATATATATATATATTGTGCGCGCGCGCATATAAACACACACACACACATGTATATAAAAGTCAAATAAGCCCCATTTGTCTTTAAACAACAAATCTCAAACAGCCCCTTTTTGCATGTTTCACGCATGCATGGAACTAAATTTTCTCAAATAACTAAATAACTCACTTATCTGACTTAACCATCTCTTAGTAATAGTTCTACACAAACATAAAGTCCCATCAAATTCAAAGTAACTTGTTTGACTTCCAAAACTTCATGTTTTCCTTGTTTATTAAGTTACTTACACAAATAATAAATTAAACTCAATCAATACTGGAATCATACCCAAAAGAACCTATTTAACCACCAACTATTCAACTCCGCCCACAACAACCAATTTGTTAATTTTCAACACTTCAACCTCCTAAATTACTTCAAAACACATGCAATTGAATCCTAAATCACTATTAAAATTATCCCTAACAATACAAAATATTAGGATTAATTAAAAACAGACCGACTATGAACTTTATAAGTTAGAAATAGATTCCAGCAATAGGCTATTAAAAAATTGTCCACATTTTTTTTAGATACTTTCCATCATATAGGATGAAAAAGCATTTCTATCATAGGATGAAAGACACGCCCTTCATGTTTGGTATAAATAGAAAAATGCTTTCTAGAAAGAAAGAGAGAATGTATCTAGACAGAATATGACATAGGTACATTTCCCATTTCCTTTGTAGAAAGCATTTTTCCATATACCAAACATGCATAATACAATGACTTGATGAAGTGACATATCAATGCATTGTTGAAGGGTATAAATGTAAAAAGGGCTACAATATTGTCGCACCCAATCCAGAATTTCTCGAGGAGGAAATCGAATGAAAAATAAATATTTGAAAGTCGCCACCAAAATTTTAAAAAAATTTTTGAAAACTTTTTTAACATGTGGTCTACATGAAGAGAAAAAGAGTAACGAAGTTGATTGTATAAGGGAAAGGTATTAGACACCCCACAACACTCATTCATATGAATAATTATCTTAAATAACTATATAAATTTATATGGCCTTAAAAAATATATTAATTATCCTTAATAAAACAATAAGATAAAAAAAGTAAAAGGAAATTTTTTTATTTATTTACAAGTTAGACTTGATCTAGGATGAACCCTAGGGCCTACATACCATTTTAAGGAATCAAAGCTCACGTAGTTCGGGGTAAAAATGCGTGCCCCTTAGTTGAGAATTTTTTTAGGAAAATATCAATTATTAATTTTTATAAAATATTTTTAATGTTGGTTTGTATTTTTTATTCATGAAAATATTTGATTTCTTTATTTGTAGCAAAATCCTAAGAAAAATTTTTGGGAAAATATTTTGATAAGATTTATGAAAATTTCATGTATCCCAAAATCAATCTTCCAAATATGATTTATTTTATTTTATTTATTTTTAGGAAAATATTTTATGTTTTTAAATAAGAATAAAATATTTTAAAATATGTATGTAAGATAATTTATTGCTGTGTAAAAGAAGTTAGTTGACTTATAAATTTGTGGGGACTTTGAAAGTCTCACACAATTGATGATTTTAAAACTATGTATATGCAATAATTTATAGCTATAGAGGATTATAAATTAATTAACTTATAAGCTTGTGTATACTCTGAAAGTCTCACATAATCAGAAGAATATAAATCGCTTTATAGATGTACATGTTGAAAATTTATTCCCATGTATACCAAATTAATTAACTTAAAAATTTATGAGGACTCTGAAAGTTTCTCATAAAAAATAGATTAGGTAAAATCATATAATGTAAGCTAAATTAATTAACTTAAAAATTTATGAGGATTTTGAAAGTTTCTCATAACAAACAAATTAGGTAAAATCATATAATGTAAGCTAAATTAATTAACTTGATAATTTATGAGAGTTCTAAAAGTCTCCCATAGCAAATAGGTTAGGTAAAATCCTAATAGATATAATGAGGAATCAATGTTTTTTATATATTGTTTTGTTATTATTATTTGGAGATTAATTGTTATCTTATCTATTACTTTATCTTGATTATTGTATTATTTTGAAATCTTTAAATCTTAATATTAGATATTAGGTTATGCTATCTTGAAATCTTGAAATCATAATATTAGATAATATTCTGATTATTATATTATTTTAAGATATTCAAATATTTATAGCTCATTATTAGATCATGATCTAGCTTGATTATATTTATGTCATGTTTTATTATTTTCATATTCAGTACTCTTATAAGGCATTTTTTGAGAAGTTAGATATTTAAAAATATAAGTTACTTTTAGTCTTTTGAGGTGTAATCATTTTTTTTAAATGCCTCTATTGATAGTAACTTTATATCTATTATAGGGTCTTTAATAGAGATAAATATGAAAAGATAATGTTAGTTTGAAAGTAGGTAATCACTTTATTGAGGGGTGAGATTCGGTTAAAAATACCTTACATTTTCGAATGGAGGAGTACCTTTTAACTTTTTATTTATTTATTTCTTTTGTTATAAAATAAAATATTTTTCTATTTTCATTCTTATTTTTTTTATTTTATTATGAATATTACCTTATTTATTTATTAGAATTTACACAAAATACGGTGTTCACATATATAAATTTACAAATTTATCTGGAATGTTTTCGAAAAAGCACTGATGGTATTCTAACAAAAGGCATAATGTAGCCTCAACATTTTTTAAAATCAGATAATTTTGGCCCACCATGACAAAAGGCCCACATTGACCACTAATCTTTGGTTTTTGACGATCATGCTTAAATTTGGCATGCCACATCTGATGTGGCTATTCAAAAAGGTTAAAAAAAGAAAAAAAGAAAAACTAAAACACCACCACTTGCTATTCATTCTCCTATTTTCTATTAAGGCCATGTGTTTCACCTTCTTTCTCCTCGTGAGAACTTGTATGTCATCACTAAAACTTACAACATAAGCTTTTTTAAAAAATTATAACATATTTTAAAATATATTGACAATCAGCAGTGACACTAAAAAGTCGCCGCTAATTTTTAACTTTCAACGATGACTTGTATGTCGCCGCTGACACTTACAACATAAGTTTTTTTTTTAAAAATTATAACATATTTTAAAATATGTTGACAATCAGCGGTGACACTAAAAAGTCGCCGCTAATTCTTAACTTTTAACGGTGACTTGTATGTCGCCGCTGACACTTACAATATAAATTTTTTAAAAAAAATTATAACATATTTTAAAATATGTTGACAATCAGCGACGACACTAAAAAGTCATCGCTGATTCTCAACTTTCAGCGACAACTTGTATGTCTTCGCTGATACTTTTAACATAAGTTTCTTAAAAAAATTATAACATATTTTAAAATATGTTGACAATCAGCGGTAACACTAGAAAGTTGCCGCTGATTTTCAATTTTCAGGGGCGACTATATCTTGTATAGTCGCCGCAGAAAGTCACTATTTCAATGGCGACTTCAAATATTGCTGTAGAAACTCACACTTTCAGCTGTGACTTTTACTGTCGCCACTGAAAGTGGAGAATTAGTAGCGACTTTTTAGTGTTGTTACTAAAAGTTATTTTTTTGTAGTGTTATTGAAAATCAGCTTCCATTTTTCATCTTAGAGAAGCTATATGAAATATTCATCAGTCAAATTGATACACCCAAACCCAAAGATCAAAAGTATCCAAGATTATTTCTAGACCTCTGCCTTGACTACTTTAGCGATTTGCCAATATGTTCAGGCAAGATAACCCAGAAGCAGGAAAATGGACATTCCTTCTTACATTTCACAGATCTTATTAGATATCTTTGCCTTCCATATTATTTTGATGATACTCCATTTGAATATGGTTCAAACAACACTAAAAAGAGCGAATCAGGTTCAACCCAAATCCGTGGTCTAAAGAGTGCAGCGAAATTGAAGAAGGCAAGGATAAACTTTAAACCGGTTCATGACAGAAGCTTAATTGACATCAGATTCAACTCTCGGAATATCCTCTCCGGTCGACCATATTTTGAATTCCCAAAACTAATCATAGACGACTCGACTGAAGTTATTTTCCAAAACATCATTGCTTTCGAACAGTTTTTCTGCAAACCAAATCAGCATCACTTCAGTGCCTATGTTCGTTTGCTTAGAGATCTCATTGACACTCCAGAGGATGTGGCTTTACTTGCTGACAAAGATGTTTTGGTCCATACACTGGACACTAATGAGGAAGTGGTCACTTTATTCAATAAGCTATCCAAAGGATTGGTGGTAAAGTCAAGCACTTACAACGATCTCATTGAACGAGTCAAAAGGCATTACGACAGTGGAAGGACTCACTTCAGGTTAACATATTTTCGTGATCTTTGGAGAACAAGTTCGACTATAGTGGACTCGCTGTCTTCATCTTCGGTACTACTAACGCTATCCGTACTTTTCTTAAAGACTTTGATTAGGATCGTGCTATTTAAGTGTTTTGCCTTATGTTTATTTGAGGCTAATTAATTAATTAACGATTTCTTTTGTCTTCGTTTGATTTGGATTGCTTTTGTTTCTATTAAATTAATCATCTATGTGTATAAGTAGGTCCATCTAGGTTCTAGGATTGAGTTGTGTTGTGTTTGTGTATAATTATTTTAGTGTGAGTTTCATCTACATGACTATTATGCTTTAATTAATGTATTTATCCTGTGATTCAACAGCTAAGTTATCACAATAATTCTACCATTTAAATTTAATTAGTTGTGATATAATATTGCATATATCTAGAAGTTCCCACTTTGCGATCCATGTGGCAGATTCGACCATACGTGAGGAAAGAGTTGTTTTGCTTTTCTTAATGACTTTTAGGATCAAACTATTACATTTGTGTTATGTTCGTTGCTTATTAATTATATGGTGGAATGCGAAGTGCTAATATATTTGCTCAATTGTTTGGTTTAATTTGATTGTGGTTACTCTACTTTTGGTTTGATTATTGGATTACTTTTGTTCATATTAATCATCTACATTATATATTATATGGCTAAATGGTATCGGCTAAAAAATAGAAAAAAAGGCTAAACGGTAAAAAGTCCTGGAACTTTTTTACAAGAAACTTAATATTTTAAACCTTTTTTGGAGTGATGCTATAATTGAACTTTAAAAAAAAAAAAAAAAGTGCAATGTCATCGTACAGTGTTGACTGTCTGTTTGACTTTAATTGTTAGGTTTGCAGCCGCCTGACCTTTTTTAAAAATTAACCAGTGTCTTCTTTTTGTCTTCCACCTTCATCAAACTCAACAGAGACTCAAGCTTCAGAACTCACATCAACTTCCCTATCCCACTCATTGAGCTCCCCTATATTTTCTTCTGGGTTTTCTAGTGCCATAGGGCTCAACCAAACTCAACTCATCTTAAATTCTTCAGAGGATTTGCGCTCAATTCCATGTCTGACAACCTCAATCCCTCGGCCTCCTCGTCCAAAACCTGTCCCCATATAACATGCCCGTAGTGCTTCGAAACCCCAGAAACTACACTGAAGAGTAGGGCAGTATAAAATTTTTTTAATCCGACCTGACCCAGTCCAATTCAAAATGGTCATGTCTTATTCAATTATTATAAACACTAGTCTTTTTAAGACTAAAAAAATTAAAAAAATTAGACTATTTATTTAAGTTGGACTAGACAGAAGACTGGGCATCTAAATCATTTAGTTTAGTCCAATCCTATTAATTTATTTAATATAATTATAATTTTTTTTTTGGCAAATGGTTCAAGTATAATTGACGCTAAAGAGATGATTACATAAAAATTTATTGAGTTTGTTTCTACATTATTGTTGTAATGTAGTGTTGTTGAAGTTTGTTGAGTGTTGTTTTTATTGAAATTATAATTTAAATAATCTAAACTGTAATTGAAATATTTTTTCTTGTTGTTGAAAATTATTTTGAATTTATTATGATTATAAGTAATTTTATTATCTTAATTAAGTTTATCAGGTTGAAATAAATTATTGTCTCTTATAGAGAAAAAGAAAAAAAATAGCTATGTGAGTATCGGGTTAACAGGACCAGTCTCCTAGTCTCATGAATTAAGTTTGATCCTATTAATTTTTAAGTCATCATGAGACAAGATTGAATTATAAATTGTCTAAATTAATTTTTTTTATAAAAAAGATTAAACTTTAAATTAGGTCAAACTTCAGTGCCGTTGAATCCCTTATTAGCCCTACTGAAGAGTGAGACAGAGACATTAGGGAAAATGGGCGGCAGGGCAAAGAATTGAACCCATCTAGCTCTGACCCTTTTGAACTAATTATCCACTTCTGCAGATATTGTAACGTTTTGAAAAAGATTGGGACAGTGGACTTTTAAACATTTTTTAGGATATTAATTAAAATTTTAACAAAAAACGTTCAAGATAAATTCGGATAAATTGGTTCTGGTTGAAAGGAATCTTATACTAAAAAAAAGTGAATTAAATTTTTAAAAATTTAAGAACGTTTATATTGATATACAAAAAAATTATCATTAAAAATTTAAAAATTTATCAGGAATTTATTATTGATATAAAACTGTATATAATTAATAAATATAATAAATAAGTTATAATATAAAATAAAATAAATATTAAATTATTTATTTAATTTAATTTTATAATATGAGTTATATCTGTAAAAGCTTTGATAAATTTGCATTTTAAGCCAAGAAAAGAAATTGCGGTAACTTTTTGTTAGAAATAAAAAACGTGGTTAATTAACAACCCGCCATCAACAATAATTTCCGACCGACTTTACTGTAATTTGAGATAAGATTACAAGGCCCACCTTACTATGAGATTACAAGCACAATGATATTTCATATTTGGTTCTAGAGGATATTTCCTTTAGGTGCGTGATACACGCACTGCCACGTGTCCAATTCGAGAAATGTTTACGCTTGCCCTGGGCTAATTATATATATATATATATATATATATATCTGCGCAATATTGTATATGACGAAGCAAAGGCAGGCGTTAGCAAAGGCTTCGTTTGTTGGAAATGGCGGATCATCAGGTTCATATTCCAACCCTACAAAATCTATGCTTTTCTCTTTAGTTTGTTTTATTTAATGCACTTTTCGTCTCGTTATTTAATACTCCTTCATTATTTTACTTTTTAGATATTTTCTTTTTCTCCCTCCCCGTATAAAGTGAAAAGTTCTTTTTGAAAGTTAATATTATACAAAAAAAAATCTTATGAAAAAAAAATTAATCATTTTATCTTCATAATTTTGACACAGATAAACTTAATTCTTAAATTTTAATTTATTATAATTTGATACTTATAGTATTGACTCGGTTGTAATTCAATCCATCAATTTTGACTATTGCAACTCAGTTCCTATAATTTTAAACATTTAAATATTGGTCCCTATATTTTAAAAAATAAAATTATAAAGATTAAAACTATTTTAAAATTTTAATCTTTGCAATAAAAAGATTAAAAGGATTTAGTAATTTAAAATATTAGTTCTAAATTTTAACATAATTTTAATCTTTATAATTTAATTTTTAAAAATATAGAGACTAATATTTCAATAGTTAAAACTATAGGGACTGAGTTGTAATAATCAAAGTTGAGGGATTGAGTTACAATGGAATCAAAATTATAAGAAATGAGTTATAATAAATTAAAATTTAATAATTAAATTACAATTAGATCAAAGCTATAAGGATTAAATGATAATTTTTTTTTTGAGCAAAAAAATGATAAATTTTTCTTAAAGTAAAATTAGGAGAGTAATAAAATGCGCCGTCAATGAATTTCATCTCAATTTCAGCTAGTATGGTTTTCTTAAACCTCGATTGATGTGTATATTTTTCTTCTTACAATAAGGAATCTTTTTGCAAATCACGAGGAATAATTTCGCTCCTATTTAGGCTTTTTTCCCCTTATTTTGATTTCAATTTGTGGTTATATGAGGATGATAAGTGGTATAAGTTATTCCATTTGTTTAAAAATATAAAACATTTTTTAAAAAATTGAATATTAAAAAATGTAAAGTATTTTTATTTTTTTAAAGGGTAATTATTGTCTTTTTTTTTTAAAGTGCCTTTATAGATAATGACTTTATATTTATTATATGGTATTTAACAGGAATAAATATAGAAAAATAGGGTTAGTTTGAAAGTAGGTAACTATTTTATTAAGGGGTGAGATTTGGTTAAAAATATTTTATATTTTTTAACGGAGGGAGTATATTTTTTATTTACCCATGTGTGCAATTAAATATTATAGCTAGTTAACATAACTTTGACTTTTGAGAAGAATATATTTAAAAAAGTACTACAAATTTTATACATTTTTAATGAGAAAATTCCATTTAACCACCATTATTTGTTTTTGTGTGGACCAAAAGAGTATTTACTCCCTCGTAATGATAATGGAAAACATTTTGTAAAATTTACTGTTAATCCAAACCTATTTAAACTCATTTACTGTAAAAAAAATGTAATGCAAATTTTAAAAGTTCTCATTAGTAAAATTTGAAGTTTATTTTATTTTTAAATAAAATTAATGACTTAACCACCTTTCTTTAATTCTAGTGATGTGTTTAGAAATGTCTTAGGAAGTAGTTTGCTAGAAGGTAATTATTGCTTATATTATTAGGACATAAATCCATCTAGATCATTAATGCAGGGAGAGATCTCGATTCACATCCCAACAGATCCGATGTCAACAGAGTGTTGCAGCAAGATTCCTGAGATTCTTCGGAAGCTGAATCCAGAAGCTTATACTCCTTTATTAGTTTCCATTGGCCCTATTCACTATTACCTTGCTCCTTGCACGGAAATGCAGCAGCACAAAGTTAAATACAAAAAGGATTTCTCCAGTCGTGTGCAGAACATGGAAACATTGCAGCATAACTATAAAGATTTCATTGAGAGTAATTTTGAAATGATTGTCAATCAGTATCCACATTCCAATCATTGGCGCACAAAGAAAATCTGTGAAATCATATTGGAGGATGCTGTCTTTATATTGGAGCACTTTTTGAGGAACTCATCACCACCAGCAACTCCCAAAGAAGATGATTATCCATTAAATACACCTTCGTATTTTCAGACCATCCAGCGAGACTTGTTACTTGTTGAAAATCAGCTTCCATTTTTCGTCTTAGAGGAGCTATATAAAAGATTTATCAGTCATGATGGCACACCCAAACCAAAAGATCAAGAGTATCCAAGGTTTCGAAACCTCTGCCTTGACTACTTCAGCAATCTGCCAATATGTTTAGGGAACCAAAAGGAAAAAGAACGCGTAGTACGCCATGATTCCTTCAAACATTTCGCGGATCTCGTCAGATACCTTTGCCTTCCAGATTATTTTCATGATGCTCCACATGGATCTCGTTCAAACAACAACAGGGGTCAACAAATCCCTGGTCTAAAGAGTGCAACGAAATTGAAGGAGGTAGGGATAAACTTTAAACAAGTCAATGACAGAAGCTTGATTGACATCAGATTCAACGCTTGGTCTGGAAAACCATATTTGGAATTCCCAAAAATAATCATAGACGACTTAGCCGAAGTTATTTTGCGAAACATCATTGCTTTCGAACAATATCACTATAATCCGAATCAGCATCATTTCAGCGCCTATGTTCGTTTGCTTAATGATCTCATTGACACTCCAGAAGATGTGGCTTTGCTTGTTGACAAATATGTGTTGGTCCATACATTGGACACTAATGAGGAATTGGTCACTTTAATCAAGAAGCTAAACAAAGGATGGGTGATAAACTCAAGCATTTACAACCACATGATTAGAGCAGCCTGGGGATATTGCGATAGTGCATGGAATCACCTCAAGTTTACATATTTTCGTGATCTTTGGAGAACAAGTTCGACTATTGTAGGATTCGCCGTCTTCGTCTTCACTACTACCAACACTGTCCGTGCTTTTGTTGACGGCTTTTAGGATCATACTATACTATTAGTATTATATTACTGCTATAAATTTTTGATGCTTAATTATATCGTCATGTGCTAAGTGCGAATATTAGTTGCTTGGTTTTATCATGTGGCTAGTTTGAATTTGGTTTCTCTGCGTTTGGTTTGATTTGGATTGCTTTTGTTCATATTATGATAATCTACATTATATATTAAGCATGTGCTTCCCGCATTTCCATGATTTAGCAGCCAAGTTATGGAAATTCTATCATTCCGGTTTAATTATTTATAATCTAGTATTACAATAT